AGTAGAGAGAAGTGTAAAAGCCTAGAAATGCCTTATATGTCTTCAATAAGCCTGAAATCAATACTCGAAGCTAATGGATACGTTGTCCACAACATTCATTTTATTTCTAAGTCTTATCCGGTCCAAGTTCATTGGAACGGAATGCTGAATACTGCTGAAAGTTTCCCGTAATTTCCTGCTGGAAATCACAAAATCATATTTCAGGAAAATACATTTAGCAAAAGAGATTTATAATTCTGCTTTTCCATTGCTGCACATTTTTTTTCCTTCGGAAGAAGTGAATTTTGATGACATTTAGCAGTAAGATTTGTAAATTTGGCTCGGATTGTGAACCTAGAGCCATTTCAAATGCCTTCTATCGTGAGTACCAAATGAGGACAATGTTAGCTCCAGGCGCTAAAAACGAAATAAAACTTGGCAAGAGAGAAGAAAATAGTTCTGACTGACTTTTGTACGATTTTCAAGACATCGCAATAAAGAGAAATTCATGAAAATGAATCATTTAGCATCCCAAAATTGTGATTACTGATGGGAACATTTATATTATAGTGGCAAAAATGTTAACAATTGCTGTCTGTTGGTTGAGTTCAAATTGGTTGAGCATAATTTGATGTCCCAAACATACTCCTTTGTCACCATTTAATCCCTCTTCTCAACTTCCACCAAAATTCCTCAATAACTAAATTTTAATAGGTTTTTTTCACATGCTGCTCTTAAAAAGTGCTCCATGTTCGATATTACATAGCTATTGCTTTATTCTTACGTAACGTGCGTTCTTTCAACAATTTAAATGCTCATCATTTCATTTCATACTTCGTACTTATATCACTTCCCATACGGGTCGTTCATTTTCAAAGTCCTTCTTACTTCAGGATTGTCCACTTTATCATGATTGGTCATGATGACCATATTGCACTAATCAGTCAGGTCGAGTCGTTTGCACTATTCAGACAAAAGTTTACCATTCGGCGATATTGCACTCGTCCCGGCCTGAGTGTTAGTTGCTGTTATTCGTCCCATTTGCTCCCCATTTTCTCTAGCCATTCCTAGTCACTGTAAATTCATTAATCCTGCTTAAAATCCAATAATTTCAGTCAAGAGCTTTTTCTGTTATCTATTGCGCAAGCCCATTTTACAGCCTGATTAACTTAAAGACCAAATTAATTTACTTTTCATTTACTTTATTCTGCCTATGGTGATATTTCATGCTGAAATCAATTTATGAGCTAATCATGATAAGTAAGACAAGCAGGTAAGTCATTTTATCATCATTTATCAATAAATGAGGAAAAGACATACTTTTGAGACTACTGCATTTCTGTTAGCCATATAGATGGTACACATAAGCCAAACCTATTGTTGGAGCTCATTTGGCAAACATCCCATACTTCCCAGTTTCATAATTGTTGATATTTTCGATACCTTTCATCAATATACCTACCTTCCACTCATTTTCCTTTTGAAAATACAGGGATTTTTCGATGTATAAAATGATCCAAAATTTTTGAAGTAAATCATTTTCAGAGAATGCTGGTGCATTTCGTACCCCATCATTTTGCATCCTTTCTTCTTCATAAAATCAGTGATGAAATTTTCAGTTGAAATATTTGGTTGGAGGACATCGGTCAAAAATGAAGTGCTGGAAAGACTGATATTTGTTCCTTCGTCCTTCCATACGATCTAATTTATTAAAGGTTTCAGCTTTCTGCTATTGTAATTTGTAGTCCGACCTGTATTGTCTATACTGATAACTGTTGTTGCAACGATACCCTATGAAATAGTTCCCGAATGCAGCGATAACTTGGAATAGTTGCGTCTTACCCAATTTATCACTACATTTATATCTGTAGCCTGAATATTGAACCTGAAATTCAAAATTTGCATCCAGTTAGCTCGCTTCATTCTCATTTAGATTACATTATTAAATAATTTTGGGTTTTTTCATCTTTGTGGAATTTTTTTATATTTTATGTGATAGTATTTTACATGTATTTTATGTGTAGCTTTAATAATATTTATATGAAGTCAAGCGAAACTTACCGTATTATGATACTTCTACCAGTAAATGGAGTTATTTTTCAACTGTAGAAGTTGAAATACGATTTATCTAAGCGGATACTTTTCTGTTAACATTACGAAGACTTTCACTTCTCTGTTAATTGTCACCTTTCCTTTTCATTTACCTTATATTGTCCTTTCTTAATTTTTAATCTATTGTCAAATTTAAATTAAAAAAATTTTCTTCCACATTTATCTGATCCTGAATAATTATCCAGCCATTTAGTTTAGCTTGTGTTGATCATGCTGATTACGACTGATCAACAGAAGTCTACAATGACACTTGCTATCAAAGACTGACCTAGATAGAATCATTAGAGAAAAAATGACTAATGTCTTTCCAACCTTTGGGACTTCTGCTATTATCAACTACAACGTTTCACCGCTGTACAATATTGGTAGGAGCAGCAGTAGTAACCAGTCTTAAGACAGGTGTCATTGTGCTCTCTTCTTGCATTAAAAAAATATAATATTATGATCATTAAAGCTGATTATTTTCATTATCCTGCATATGAACCTTGTAGTACTTGGTTATCTAAATAAATTAGTTCAATTCTGTGAAGCGGTTCCAAATTCTCAAAATAATTCCTTGATTCCTTAGGTCTACGAGTAAAGCTTTAAGGTTTCGTAAATCCAAGCTGCAAAAGCGAACTTTTTCAAAAAATTTCGAACACTGAAATTTCTGTTGATCCCTTCTCTATCTTTTCAGGAAATCTCCAGTGTATATGGAATAAAATACTCACTAAAAGTTTATTCCTTAACATAAACATTACACAAATAAGATGAATGAATAGGGAATGTAATAAAAGAAAATTCGATTTCATTAAAAAAGTATTAGATGGAATCTGTTAAGCAAAACGTAAATACATCATATCGCATGAATGCAGCGTGGTGGGTTGTCCGACATTTCTACGGTTATAAAGCTTACTATAAAAAAAAAAAAGAAAAAGGAAAACAAACTGAAACGAAATGAAAATAAATGATTAAATGCCATTAAAGCACCAAAGAACGCCTTTGAGAAAAAGCAGCGAACAAAGTCGACCACATCATATACACAACAAGAGATTTGTGCGAAAGCTATAAATATGTTTGATGACATATTTTCGGAAAATATTAAAATCAAAAGAAAAGGAGACTGCAAAAAAGACTTTCCGCTAAAAAGTGTCACCGATATATATTAACATCTTATAGATCTATCTCTTTTCAATTTCGAAAATATTCCGGCCAAAAATTTGGTTTTTAGAGGAAAATTATCATATTTCAGCAGGAAGACAGAAGCTTGAGATATAACAGAAATTTCTATTTCGACATTTATTCTCAAAAACTTTCAAAAACAAACTTGCTATAAAACTCATTGATAACTAGTGCTCCCAGTTCGACCGACAAAACTCAAATTTGAATAATTGGAAATAAAAAGAGATAAAATAAAAACTGACTGAAAAAAATCACAGTCGGACAATATGATTTTTTTCAGTGTAACTATGTACACATTGAGGCATTAACCAGTCGATTAACAATAACTTGGAATTCAAAATAAATTCTCGAAAATACCGAAAATATTTTTTTAAAAATAAAAAGAAAATATGCATCTTTGAGAAGATACAAAACAAAAAATCACGCTTACAACAAAGGCTCAAGCTACAAGGGACAGGAAATTTGAAAAAAAAATTTTTCCAGTTACAAAGGAAAATGGAAAAACAATTCCATTATAAAATCATCCCTGATTCATTTTGTTATAGCTAATCACATTCTAATTATGATAAAAAAATGGGAAAATACAAATAAGAATAATAGACAACCATATGCAGAGCACACAATATAAAAAAATCACGCTTACAACAAAGTTCAAATTTAACATATGGCGTGACGATGAACTGATTTCACACTGACCAACAAACTGATTGATAAAGTGGAACGAAAGATAAGTTATATATAGGATATCTATACTAATTCTAAAAAATATTTTCCATTAATTCAAAATAAGCTATACACATCCCTGAGGTTCGTCTGGTAGAATCCGAAAAGAATAGAAAAACAATAATAAACCTGAGTG